GGAGAACTTCCACTCAACTGTCGTAAATCCATGTACGCTCACAAAGCATTCAGCCTTCTTGTATGCAGAGTTTTACAGTGAGAAAACGACCCTCATTATGCCGCATCAAGGAATAATACATAATATGATCGCGCAGTTGTAGAAAATAAAGCACACAGTCGGCAATTGCTTTCTTACCTCCCTAATTTCTGAATACCGGTTAAAAATTGAGTCTGGCACTGAAAATGCAGAAATTAGTTTTCTTGGAATTTTGGTTTGGAAACCCTCGTATCCTTGAGATTTTTGGCAGTACAAAAAGAACTCAAGGTTTGAGTAGCAGGACCCGTTCATCCTTCAAGTTAATGAGCGACATTTCGCAATTCTTTCAGCATCAGCCTAACCTGGCGAACCGTCGAAATAATTTTGAACGGCACTTTCATGTAGATTGCCACGAAAACCTCGAAGGTTGTAGTACACAAAATCGTTCTCGAGGTTATTCTGTAAAGGTCACGGCAAAAGTGGCATGCCGACAAATCTGGACCATTGGCACTCTAATTGTACCAATTTCATACTACCAAACAGTACATAAACAGCGGTTTCCACGTGGCAATCTTGGAATGCAACAAATCCACGTTGACTGTAGACGAAAATCTCGTGGCGATAGTCTGATTTTTTGCTTGCGTAAAACTGTCTCACGCACCCCGAGAACCGCGGCGAAGTCGCAGGCCGAGTATCCGAAGCATGCCAAACATTTGACCTGTTGCAACACAGTCTGGAATTCCTATGACTCTAAAATTGTCACGAAACACAGGATATACAAATTGTCTGCTTAATAAAGTTGCCCTCTGGAATGGAATTTGGACGATTTACCTAAGCGAAGGCACAAAGTTAAATCGCGTTCGCTCAATCTGTCTTCGATATATATATTAAAGGTACACCGAGAGAAACGTATGTCGGACACAAAGGATCTGAGAGTCAATTAGTATGACTAGGATTTTCTCCGATTGAACTACGGCGGGATGACCACATCGTGCGGTTGATTGATGAGCTCATGTTGGGGCGACTCTTATGGAGACATCGCCATAATGATTCGCACGCTTAGTAAAAAAAATTCTCACTGACGCACTGAAAACCTTCCTTTAACGCCCCCGTGGACCTAGGGAACGTTTGTAAAAGAAAGCAGGGCGCGCAGTTGTAAAATCTGGAAAAGCTGTCTTAGAAACTGACAAATAAAAGCGTATACGGAACCAGCCTGTACGACTGGTATGCTGCAGACTATTTTTAACAACACACAACTGTGATGTACACACTGGTGACTTCTGCATTGGCATTTATATACATTCATACGTCAGCGCGACCAACCCACTCCTCGAAAAACATACACATTTACCTAAGAAACTCCTCTAACCTGCCCTGATTGTAACATGTTGGCTGGCCTGATCGAATGCTTTCAAGGTTACAATAACAAGGACACCGTCAATAAAGCTTTCAGTAGAACCGTGCACGTCGTGACTGGTCTTCTAGACTTTCAGGATTCTTTAAGACCAGTATAAGGTTACAAAACAATAACTGTTTCAGGCAGGCAGCCAACGTATTCATTAACTCATACGAAGTGAAATGTACTAGAAATCTATTCCTAGGGGCTTCTTTTACTCTTGACTATTCAAAGCTTATGTTGAAATCTACCCTGCATTTTTCGAACCTTACAGGTGGCTGTTTGAGGTCGTAGGTTTTTGGAGCATGGAGCTTCAGATATCTGCACCCGGGAAGGTCATACTCTTTGGCGAGCATGCTGTTGTTTATGGATACCCGGCGATCGCAGCATCAATCGATCTGCGTGTTCGATTAAATGTCTCTGCAGGGCACCTCACTGACGCCGGCAGCGCATTATACCATGTGAGCCTACCCGACTTAAATGCACCTCCTGTGTGTCTGTCTGCCGACTGCATAAACGATGTCCGCTCTTCTCTAATTAAGAACCGCAACAACCCCCAGGAAACTGTTCTTGAGATTGTATCAAGGCAATGCCTAGTTTCATCTGACCAACGCTTACTAAACAGTTTGGCTGTGATCCTGTTGGCTGACGCCCTCGTGCACATCGAATGTTGCTGTGACTCTTGCCCGACCAATAAACTGGTTCGCCCACTGAATATTCGCGTTACCTCAGAACTTCCGATGGGCTCAGGACTTGGTTCTTCGGCAGCCTTTTGTACAGTCGTTTGCGCCTGTTTTCTACATATTCACGGTCAGGATCCCTCGGCAGATTCGTCCCAACTTGAGCGAATCGCACATGAGACAGAAAAACTGATGCACGCCATGCCTTCGGGAGTTGATACTGCCATCTGCGCCAGGGGTGGCATCATCTGCTTCCAACGACTTAACCCCTCGCAACGCTGTGATACTCTGCCGGCTAAGTCCGGACCTCTTCTCCTTATCAACACCCGAATTCCACGATCCACGGCGGTTGTTGTATTAGACGTCGCCGCCGCTCGTTCCGCAGACACACAAAAGCACGGTCATTTGATGAAGGAAATTGCGAGTGTTTGCACCCAGGCCACAGATCACCTTTGCAACGGAAGACTGTTTTGCACCGAATTTGATCAACTAGTTTCCCGAAATCAGGATCTTCTGGAGCAGCTGGGTGTTTCGCACCCTGTTATCGACGAGATCGTACGCCGACTTGCAGAATTCGGTGTCAGTGCCAAATTGACCGGAGCAGGGAAAGGCGGATGTGTTATCGCGTTCTTGGATGAAGAACGACATTCTTTGACGTACGCAGATGTTTCTAACATCCTAAAAACGTTTGATGTAGA